TGCGCAGTCTCCGGGAGTCTACAATTACCCGGGACGGGTACACTCGTGCAGATCGTTGGCGTGTTGAGCATACATTTTTCTTTCGCCTAAAACCTTCGTGGAATTCGCACCTTTTGTTCGACCATTCGTATTTGCTCGGCTCAGACGCGCGCGTGCGAAACTAACATTCGCTCGTTACACCGGCTCGAGCGGGCGCGAATATTATTGTTTGTGCACCGCATGAGCCGCATAATTACCGCACATCTATCGGATGGAGGTGTTTATTCTTGCCTTCAATATTCAATGTGACAGACAGTCGTGAGAATCTGATGCATGGAGGATGAGTCAAGGATCGGGCGCGTATACGTTTTATCGGAAGTTGCAGAAGGGACGGAGTCTCACACTCGCCGTCGAAACTCCGCTGCTGCTGAGTCCGCGGTCTCGAGCGGAGGTCAGCTCTGTCATTTCGGAAGGCAGCAAGGCTGTTATTTCGCAGCCGTGAAAAGCGACTGGTGGCGAATTGCATCTTTGGTCACAGAACCGTGCCGGAGTGAACTCTGGTTCTCACATTTTCTCTCCGAGCTTCGCCCGGTTCATATGTGCCATACGAGTTCGTTGGAAGTTTGAATATCGCTCCGCGATTTCTACATGGTTGACATGTTTTTCAGACTTTTTCGTTGAGGAGAATTCTGATTGTAGTTTACTTCCGCTAACGAAGGAAACTGACCAAATGGTCAGTATGTTCCCATTTTGGTTCAGTCGGTCTTTTCGTCGGCTCGTTCTCGTTTAATTGGCGCTATGGATTACTTGTTCGCCCTGCTCGCGTGGTTGACGGTGACTTGAAACGATTCGCACAACGAGATATCGATCCTCACGCTTGGGCTCGCGGGCGGGTGGAGACAGGGGAGAAGTTCGGGAGGGATGAGATTTTTTCTCTCAGGTGTCACCCACAACCCAAGCAATCGCTCGGTACGTGGGTCGGTTGTCAGAAAAAGCAGTGCACGAGAAGACTGTGGTCATCGACGCGTACGACTCAAATGGTCGCGCCGGCGCGAGAATCTCAGCTGTGTGGATTCTGACGTCCGGATCACATTATATTTTTTTAATTGATTTGCTTCTGTGCGTTTCGCGTGAATTTTTCGAGTCTCACTCGCTATGGTCCGCGGCGGTTCTCACGAAAAATTACAAGCATCATGGGACGGAGTTCATGACAATAACGGGAAGAATCATCTCGGAAATTAGCGGAATCTCTCTCCTGAGTGAGACGTTTCGACAAACCAACATGTACGAGGAGAAAGAGCTGCCCGTGCGCTTGCTCCATGTCTAGCACGTTAAGTGAAAACGTGTCGTAGCTGTTGTGAGTTCCATCGACATCCGATGGCAGCCGGCGGCCAAGCATCCCACTGAGCCGGCTCCCCCAACGGAAATGCACCGACCAGCGACTTCCTGCCGCATAAGACATGGGGTGCTTGCTCCGAGGAATTCACTTCACAAAGCTGCGTCCGTAGATCGCAGCCGACGGGAAGACAAACGAAAATCGACAGAGAGAGAGGCGAGGGAAATACTCTTGAATGAAGGGGTTCACGCAGGGGAACACGAAAGACCCGGTACGTCACCCATAGGACGAATGGCATCTTATTCGACATTAGCGTCAATTTAGCTCCCACCGTATCCGGGACCCCATGTCGCTCTCGTAAGTGTCGTCACAAATCAGCAGCCAATGAGAAAAACTGTGGGGTAATCGAGCTTTCGATTCAGACAAATCGTCGTGGTGTTTTTTTCTCGCTCTACTCTTTTTCCGCGGAGCTCCGAGGCCTATAAGCTATTGTCCATCCCTGATTCCCATCGCTGATGATCCGCAATATTATTCGATTGTCTCCGCGCTGTCCAATCGGATTATTAGCCTTAACCATTCGCTTCCAAGAAAGCTGCGCTCAGAGTTCACGAGGAGTGCATACAAGGATGGGTCCCCGACACGAAATTTTTGATGTGACACACATTTATTCATGTATTTCTGAATAGATGGGGGGTAAGCTTATTACGTTGTATTTATCACAGAGCTGATTCTCCACGGGTATATGTGGTTGACTAGCTTGGAACGCGCATTCTGTTTCGGATAGAACACAAAGCCTCGACGAGTATTTCTCGAGTGAAGCGTGAATAGCTCGTCGAACAATTTCTCCAGCTTGACGATTCGCCTGAGGTAGTCAATATCACATTTTTCGAGTAGTTCACTAACATTGCACAGTTCAAAGGCATCGCTGCCTACGCCACACCTATATCTGACCTGCCGTACAAATCTCCGCTGGATAATCTCCAGACGTTCAAGATCTAGCTTTCTCAGAGGATTCCAGATAACACATCCGTATATAAGAATAGGAATGACATGC